CTTCTCAGCAAAAATGAATAGAAGCACTGTGGTGAACTCTCATATTTGATTCCATTTTTTACAATGAAGCCGACAGCATTCAGTGGTACTTTATGAATCAAGTAATTAATGTAGAGGATGGATAATTTAATGTATTCAGGAAGTGCGTGAAAGCTGAATTGATTAGTTGGAGTAGAGGCTGTGAAGGGAGGGATTGGGGAAAGGATGTTGAGAACTGAATAGACTAGTGAACTGGGGAGAAGGTGGCATGAACTGATTAATTACAGGACATGGGGGGGAAAGGAATGGTGAATGAAGGATTCGGAAGACAAGAGGACAGATTTTTGCCAGGTATGCATGGGAAGACAGAACCAGAAACAGTACTGCATAAGGTGAAAAAAGTAAAAAAAGAAAAAAAAAAGAAAAAATTTGATTGTGTGAAGAAAAAGGGGGAAAGTGTGGAAGACAGGAAATACCCAAGGAAAGTGGCAATTAGATTTAGGAGAGTATGGGTTTGAGTGACAGATGAGAGAAAGTTCAAATCAAGAAAAAATAATTGGGAGAATAAACAAAAGAGAAAGAGGAAGTGGTACAGCAGCAATGATAGTGAGAGATAGTTAGTCACTGTTAGTCTAAAGCAGGGGTGGATAAAATATGGCCCACGGATCAGATCCGGCCTGCCAAGTGACTGGATCTGGCCTGTGTCTGCCCATATGGTGCTTCACATGGGGCCAAGCCCCACCTGCTCGTGGTAGGGTAGCCCATGTCACACTTCTGCTGTTACCCACGGCCCAGGCCAAGCCCACATGCACAGCTCCCAGCAGAGCTTTTCTAGTGTGGCTGCAGCTGGCTTTGTGCTGCTCTGCTCCCTTCACTGCCAGTGGTAGCTCCTGCCAAAGACGCATAGTGCAGCAGAAGCAGGAGCTACTGCTTGAAGTGAGGGGAGCACAGCAGCTTTCAGCTAGCTGCAGCCGCACCAGGAAAAGCCCTCCCAGAAGCTGCTCCTGTGCCACTCTGGCCAGTTGGGCAGCTTCAGCCAGGCAGCTCCTACCCCAGCAGGCAGGGTTTCAGGTCCCACTCCTGGCCCTCTTGCACTGGAAGGTGGCCAGAGTGCACTAGGACAGAAGCTGCCCAGGTGAAGCTGCTCACCTGCCCGCCTGGAGCAGCACAGCAGGGGCAGGAGCAGCGGGAGGAGCCACTGCTGGAGGCTGGGGGAGCAGAGCAGCACCCAGGCAGTGTTGGCCAGGGCTCGGCTGCGGGTGCTGGTGGAAGCATGACACGGGCTGCCCCAGTGTGAGCAAGGCGGTCTTGGCCCCATGTGGAGCTGCAGACTGCACTGCCTGGGCAAGGTCTGTTGTACATGACCCCACTCCCCCACCCCCGTGGGCTCCCAGAACCTAGTGCCCAGGCAGCCCCCTCACACACATGCCCCCGCAAGCCCTTCCTCACATACACTCCACACACCCCAGAGGGGCATGCAGGGAAGAGGCCACTGCCCTGAGCTGTCACCACCCCGTGACCCAGCTCCATCATTCCAGCCTTGCCCACCCCTCCTACTCCCCACTGCTCGCAGGCCCAAAGGAATTTTTGGTGATTTGTTTGGGGTGCGGGAAGTACTGACCTGGCCTGCAACAGCTTATCAAAACCCTCCATGTGGCCCTCGGGCCCAAATAATTGCCCAGCCCTGGTCTAAAGCGAGGCAGAAGGCAGAACAGGGTGATACCTTAGAGCATAATTCATTCAGAAATATATAAGCTTCTGTAGGCCACAGCCTACTTCATAAAATGCTACTTTGTCAGTAGCAGAGATATTTTTAGGCCTCTTACAGGGGTTCAGTTTAAGGTGCCATGGGATCTAAACCGTGATCTCAACAATCATACCTCCTCCCATGTCACACATGAATGGTTGGAGATGCAATTTAACAATAGAGCATTAAATCCCTATTGTGCCTTATTTGTCAATGCAGCCCAGGAGTGCAGGTGTGATAAGGATCATAACCTGGGCTCCCCCTACGACAGGACGTTAAAACCCAGATGCCAATAATCAGTTGATTGCATGTTGAGGCTGGGGATAGAACCAGGATCTGAAATGAGCCCCAGTCAAATCCTAAGCCCCACCCAACAATCGGATGATTATCAAAACTGGACCTGGAGTTTTAACTCTGCCCCAGGCATGGGAACCCCTGCACCGGGCTACAGCAGCCCGATCCTGGGGTCCCTGCAAGTCATGGCAGAGTTAAAACTTTGTATTCAAACCAGCTGAGCAGTACATGGGGTTTTAAAGGTCCAGGCACACAGGGACACCAAGATCAGGCTGCTGGCACACCTGTGCCTCAGGCCCTGGGGCTGTCCTATCCTCAGTCCTGACACTCAGCTGAGTATCAGGATCTATCATGAGCCAGCCCCAACCAGTCACACATTCAATTTAAGGCAGGATACAAACTAAGGAGTGAAATAAACATTATATGTGGAACAGCTTTGTGGCTATTGTGTTAATTGCATTATGCCTCACATACACTTTTTTAATGTGTGGCTGGGTTCAAGATATATTCAATGTACTAATCAAGTCTTAAATGCAACATGTATTAGGGGGATATGTCAGATTCATGTATTTGCACTTCTGGGATGACACTTGTTAATGATTCAAAAGAACATAATTTGTTAAGAAGTATGTCATTAAAGTAAAGGATTTAAGATAAATGCTCAGTAAGTTTTCTTTAAAAAAAACATTTTTAAAAGTAGTTTTGAAATATTTAAGACCTTGAATGCTGGAAATTTAACTGGAACTCAAAATTCTCTTTTTTGGGAAGAACAGCTTCCAAATCCTGCCAAAAGTCTTTATTTACTGTGTGAAGCTCTTAGAGCTTTACAGTTCTCTACTTGGCTAAGTGTGGATGGTGCCACTAATGCATGTGAACAACATATGATCTTGAATATAAAGAAAGAGAAGAAAATATGTGTATGGAAGGAATAAACAAGGTTTTTCTGTTTTAGTCTGCTTCTTTACATGTTTTTCTCTTGTATCAAGTTAAAAAATAACATGGCACAAAAGCCCTCACAAATGAGAAAAACAACAAAGGCATAAAAATACAGTGTGTGAGCCAGTATGTGGTTTGAGCCAGTAGAGCCAAGTCCAACAAAATAAATGTTCCTAAACTCCTGGATACTCAGGCACTTTGGCTTCAAGACCAAGAGATATCCATATCTCCCTCTAAGTTATATCTTGTTTAAACCAGCATGTGCCAAAGATTGAACTAGGAATGTCAAAATTTTTTGCCTGAACTAACACTAATGCTTTGCGATATATGCCCCCATTATTTCCCTCATGTATGCCTAACAAGTATGATGTATTTTAATTTAAAGTAGCAATGAAGTTCAGGAGTGCATCTATTATATTTGGTTATTGCTCACCCAGGGCCAAACTGGCCATGGTTTCTGTGGAGTTCATTCTGACTGGACTTCAGCAAAAAAGGCAGGCCTGTAGTGAATGTCATGAATCCTGAGGTCACAGAATGACAGCAATGATAGATTTCCTCGTGTAGCTATAGTAGAATACCACCATGACAAGTTACACATTTAAAAGCAGAATGAAGTGTAAATCACTGTTCTAGAAAGAATTTTGAGGTACACCAATACATCAGAGATGCTCTGTTCACCAGGGCGCCTCTTGGGGTAACAAAGAACAACGGTCACAAAGTGACAGAGAGCAGATTTAGGCTAGATACCAGGAAAAACTTCTTCACAGTAAGGGTGGCCAAAATTTGGAATGGGCTTCCAAGGGAGGTGGTGCTCTCCCCTTCCTTGGGGGTCTTTAAGGGAAGGCTGGATAGACATCTGGCTGGGGTCATCTGACCCCAGCACTTTTTCCTGCCGAGGCAGGGGGTTGGACTCGATGATCTGTTGAGGTCCTTTCTGACTCTAGCATCTAGGAATCGGTCCATATCATATCAGCACCAATAAAAGGGAAATTGACATTACTGGCAATCGGCTTTTTTTGGCTGATGTGGCTGATAATCTCACCAATAAATGGAGTATGCATGGGCAGCCAGGAGTGCATCCTGGCAGCTTGGAGAGCAGCATCTGACCGGTAAGTCTGTGTGGGCGGGAAGAGAGGGGTGTGCAGATCGAGGCCCCTACGGTGACGGAGGAAGTGAGCTGCAGCAGGAGTAGGTGCTGCCTGGGCAGGGCAGGACAGAATTGGTGGCTCATATGGAGATGTAGAGGGAGAGGGGCAGCACTGTAGCTGCTGCGCACAAGTCCAGAGAGGCATGGGGGCATGTGCCCCCCGATTTGTGCATGGAGCAAGGGTGGGCTGCTGCTGTGCTCTCAGTGCCAGGGGCTGAAGCCGGACTCTTCCCGGCAGCTGCACTTGGGCAGGGCAGAGGTGGAGCAGGCAGTGGTGGTGGTGGGAGGGAAAGTTATGCGGGGCTGTAGCCATCCCAAAATTCACTGTGGCCCCACCTGCCCCAGCATCACTGCCACCTGCCCTGCCTGGCCCAGTGCAAGCCTGGCCCCAAGCATGCAGAGGCAGCCCACCCTAGCCCTACCCACATATCCCTCAGCACATGCCCCTCATGCCTGTCTAGGGGTGCATACAGCAGCTGGAGCTGTGACCCCCAGATGAGCCGCCAGCTCCATCTGGCACCCCACCCTGCCCCTGCCCCAGTCCCAGCCCCAGCCCCATTCCCTACCTCGTTGCATGGGCCTCAATCTGCCTTCCCCCACACTCCTTTCCCACAACAGACTTACCAGCTACATGCTGCTCTCCAAGCTGCTGGGCTGCATAATCGGCAATCAGATCCGTATCGGCCGATAAGGCTCGTCAATAATCAGTTATCAGTATTGGCCCAAAAAATCTTTATCGTGCACACCTAAAGTTATCCAGTATAATCTTTCTAACTTGAAAGTCTTTAAACTGAAATACAGATCCACTATGATATAGGAAGGTATTTTTCTTGATGCGAGAAAAAGGCTAAAGAAAGAAAGAAAGAAAGAATAGTAAAAGCTTTATAACAAACTTACCGTCCAAAGAACTTCACAATTGGGGTGACAATAATAGCACCCACCAGTCCACCAATAGAGAAAATTGACACTGTTATAGACCAGAGGAGTGTAAGAGTTCCTTCATCTATTGAGGAGCTGTATCTTCTTTCCCAAGTTGCATTGTAAAATTTCTTGATATACTGAAAATAAAGAGACAGTGACAGTAAGTATGCAAACAGGCTTATTTGAGGCATAAGAAGATATTAAATAGTGGTGAATAAAAATCATAAAAGAGAGAGTAGCTTACTGTAAAGAAGTTTCTTGGTTAGAATTTTTCCTTGATTTTTCATCCTTACCTTAAATTGGTGATTCTCAACCAAGGTGCCATAGCAATCTAGGGTGCCTTGAGATCTTTTCAAAGGGGCCATGCACTGTTAGTACTGTTAGGTATACAACAGTACTGTTAGGTGTACAAACATAATTCACAAGGTAAACCCAAGGATTTCAAATAGGAATCTAGACAGTTAAATCAATTCTGACCTGTTGTGGTCTTTCCAAGTTCTCCGCAACAAAAGAATTTTTCTATTACTTTTCTGTACTCAAAAAGTGAGTGAAAACTAAGAGCTGGCAATTTCTGTGGAGTGCCTTTAGTCTAACAAAGGGTGCCCTAAGTCCATAAAGGTTAATAGTCACCATCTTAAATGGTTTTGTATTACATATTTTATAAAAGCCAATATAAATATAAATGTCTGTAAGTATGAGAGATCGAGAGTGAGCACACATGTTCGTCTATGATTTGACTGGTCCAGTTATCTTATATTTATCCCAGTAGTGCTTAGACACCAGAGTCTCACTGCATGAGACATTGTACATAAATAAAATGTTTACAATCCAGGCATTCGCTGCAAACTTGAGTCAATTTTGTATTGTACTGTTCACATTGTTTCACAAACAGAACAGTATTTTGTTTAATATGTTATGGGTCTATATTAAAATAATTTGAACCGCATTTTGAACCTCATTCAGAACCCACTGATCAGAAATTTTTGCATAGATTTGATAGACTTTGGCTCAGATTTTCTGACTGTGGAACAAATTGAAATGGTCTTTAATATCCGATTAATAAAGGTTAGATTTAATCAACTTTGACACAGTATAGGTGACAGTTGCCAGACAGATGTCAGACAGTTGCAGAGGTTACAAGACCTGAACCTGTTCAGCCTCCACAAGAGAAGGGGCCAAGGGGGACCAGCAGGCTATGGGACAGTCCCCGTTCCCCCGAGCACTACTGAGAGTAATGAGGAATAATGGCCATAAGTAGATGGAGAGTAGATTCGGGCTAGATATCAGGAGGCACTACTTCACAGTCAGGGTGGCTAGGATCTGGAACCACTTCCAAGGGAAGTGGTGCTGGCTCCTACCCTGGGGGTCTTCAAAAGGAGGCTAGACAATCACCTAGCCGGGGTCGTTTGACCTCAGCATCCTTTCCTGCCCATGGCAGGGGGTCGGACTTGATGATCTGCTCAGGTCCTTTCTGACCCTACCAACTATGAAACTATCAGTGCAGTTATTGCAGAGATAACAGTGATTATTCTGCCAACATGAGAAGGAAAGAAGAGAGATAAGAAAGTGGCATTAATTGAAGAGGTGCACTATTTAAGAGCATTATGGGCACATCTACACTACACAAGATGTTTACTGCACAGTAGATTAATTAGCTGTACACTAAAAAAGTTACATATCTACATGTATGCTCTTATTAGGCTTGAGTAAACTAATTTACTCTACAGCAGGATAGTACTTGTAAATGCAAGTACTATCCTGCTGTGGAGTTTTTTACTCTGCAACAGTGAACATGTAGACACTGTTCCTGCTGTCTATCGCATGAGGGTGCTTCTGTGAGAATGATGCCTGCCAGCTAGCCCTACACTGAAGCACCTTCATGTCCCAGCCAGCCCCTCTGCAGCACAATGATCTGGGGGGAGCAGCCCTTGGCTGGCAGGCTGACCCTCTGGACCCACTGCCAGATGGGGATGCTCTGACCTGGCTCAACATGCTGTGAAGAGGCTGGCTGGGACAAGGCACATTCAAACAGCACACCCAGGAGCAATAAACTCCAGCACAATAAGTTTCAGAGTTTATTCATGTGCATTAACTGCACAAGTAGACGTGCCCTATTTATTGTAAGTACAGGGAAGTGTGCAGCTCTGAATCTGCATAATGATAGCATGAGGACTAACACACATTAGCTGTAAGCACAGCTAGAATGTATTTCTGATTCATTAGAAAGATATTCAGAAGTGAGGCAACAATTATGCAACAAATTTACAGTTTACAAAAGTGTTTAAACCTCTGTTGCATCTGATAGCACATAAATGCCTAAAAATTAACCAAGTCTCAACTCTCATACAAAGAGAACGTATATGAAATTTGATTTCTATTTTTAGCAAAGCTAATTGTGTCATTCCCATGGCTGTAAGGCTGTATTTTCAAAAGGACACCAGGAAATTGCTACACAGCTGGAATTGAATTACCTTGTGGCATTTTTACCATTTCAGTGTTCCACTCTGACTCACACAGACTTAAAATAATTCTGAAGCAGATTTTATAATAAGAGACTATATATGTTAGAGAAATAGAAAGGATCACAGGAATAGGAAAGTAGAACTGGAAGGGACCTCACAAGGTCATCCAGTCTTTGCTCACGCCAGGATCATTCCTGACTAAACTGGCCCAGTCAAGTGTCTGTCCAACCTAGTCTTGAAAACTTCCAAAGAGGGAGATTCCACAGTTTCTCTAGGTCGCCTGTTCCATTGCTTGACCCCATTCAGATTCAGAAAGTTCCTCCTAATCTCCAACCTAAACTTCCCCTGCTGAAGCTTGAGGTCATGCCTCCTAGTCCTGTCCCCTATGGTCACAAAGAAAGTATATCAATTTCTGTAAGAATGGTGATAAATATTTTCTCCTGATGTCATTATATAAAGAACATTCTAAAGCATAAGGGATAGTGTCTTCCAGTCAGGCAACATCTTCTAGCCCTTGGAATGGAAAGTCTACGTCCAGCCAAAACAGCTATAGGCATCTTTTCGGTCCTGGGTCTAGTCAAGGAGGATCACCATTTATTGTTGAGATCCAGCTGTAAATACCTTTCTTCCCCCCAGTCTAATTTCCAAAGAGTATATAAAGGGGCAATACAAGTAGCCCTGGCCACTGCAAAATCATTCTGGTTACAAAAAAAAGACTGTCTCCATCCTGTCTATAACTGCTTGTCAGGTATTTGAAGACATCAAATCCTCCCTCAATAATCTGTTCTCCAGACTAAGTAACACCAGAGCTTTCAGCCTTTCCTTGTAAGTTTTGCTTCCAAGACCCTTTATCATTTTTGTTGCTCTGTGCTGGACTCTTTTCAAACTGGCCACATCCTTCTTGAAGTTTGGGGCCCCAAACTGGACTCAATATTCCAAGTGAGGCCTCACAAGCATCTCTCAATGTGCAAGTGACACTTAATACAACAGTTTGTCTGTTGTTTGTCTGTTAAAGTGAAGGCCTAAACTCAGCTCAATAAGAGGTATAGTAAATTGTTACAGCAATGCCATTTTGCAATTTAGGCTTTAATAGCTGTTCATGAACTTCTCTACAAACAACTTATGTTATTATCTGACATATTGTTTTGTTTTTTTAAAGGATAAAATTTTACAACTCACACGCCTATAAGTGTTAGTGTTTGACAGAAAGTTGGCTGAAGTCAATTGGAGTCCTCCAGATTACTGGGCTTTCCCCCAGGCACATAATAATTAGGGGTGCACCGATAAACATTTTTTGGGCTGATACTGATGGCTGATTATTGGGAAGCATATTGAGGCCCCTGCAGGGAGGGAGGGAGCGCAGCTGGGGCTGGGCATGGGACAGAGCCATGAGCAGCTTGTCCAGGGTGCACAGGGGGTGGGAGGGGAGGGACGGCTCCCACTGCTGCATGCACCCCCAGGGGAGCCATGGCGGGCTGTGTGCCCCCTAGACCTGTGTGCTGTCCACCCATGGGTGGAGCAAAGATGGGCTGCCGCTGAGGACTGGGGCCAGAGGCAGCACTGGGCTCCTCCCAGCAGTGGAAGGGGCAGGGCTGTGCTTGGGCCAGGTGCCAGCGGTGCTGGGAGGGGGCTACAGGGTGGTATCCCCCCTCCCAGCACCACCACTGCCACCACCCCCAGGAAGATCCCAGTGCTGCCCCCAGCCCACAGCGGCAGCCTGCCCTTGCCCTGTGCACAGATCTGGGCCCCCCCTGCCACGGCTTCCCCAAGGGTGAGTGCAGTGGTAGGAGCTGTTTCCCCCATATCCCCCCAGATGAGCCTCTCGCAGTTCCATCCTGTACCCAGCCCCAGCCCCACTCTCTCCCTCACTGCAGGGGCCTCAATCTGCACCCCCATCCCCTTCCCTTCCTCTGACCCCTTCCCTCTCTCCCCCAACAGGCTTACCAGCTGGATGCTGCTCTCCAAGCTGCTGGGCTAGCCAAATGCATGCTGCAGCTGCACATGCTCGCAGCATTTACTGGCAACAATACTGGCCACATCAGCCAAAAAAAAGCTAATTGCTGATGATATCAATTTTCCTTTTATTGGTGCCAATAAGATATGGACTGATGTATCAGTGCACCTCTAATAATAGTCTAGTTTGAAATTCTCAAAGCATTTAAAGGAGTTAAAATGCAAGGATATCAATGATTCAATGAGAGCTGGGCACCAAATTCATGAATGCCCTTTTGAAATGTCTGATACAAAGCCTACTGATTTTTACCTAGAAAGATGAGACGTCTCAACATCACAGAAAATGTGATACTATAAACCAGGCAAAGAGATGTTATTGTCCAATTACCGGGGGTAAATCCAGACTTCCTAAATGCTACCATTTGAGAAAACATCTAATATTGGAGACCTAAGGTACTGATCATCTTTAGCTCCATATCTATGCCTATCTATGCATTTGTCTGTATACTCATGTGGATACAATCATAGCACCCCAGTCTCTCAGTCATTAATGGATTTGATCCTCATACTTGTCTGTGAGGTAGGATAAGGCTTTATCTCCATTTTAAAGCTGGAGAATAGGATAACTTCTTTCCTCTACTGAAATCTGCTATCAGGTTTCAGTCTGATAGAAAGGAGAGTGCCCAGGCTACATGCTCTTCAAATACATGGGTTTTAAATGG